TGCCTACAACTTCAAGTCCCTTCCTCCTGACACGTAACTCGATCTCTAGGATTTAAGTACTAGATCCTGGCTCAGCATTAAGCAGAAAACCCATCTGGGCAACATGAAGATGAGTTTTTTGTGTGTGTGCAATAGCATACAACTTTCTTACTAGTATCCTTTTTTTTTTTTTTACTAAACGCCTTGGTGATCTAGGACCCCGTGAAAACAATGGTTTCCACCCAAAAAAGAGGAAAAATACATAAATAAAGGAATTACCGCAGAGTTAAATAGCTGTTTTCCCCCTCAAGTCATTTTCAGCGTTGTGTACGTAGAATTAAAGCAGCTGAAATATTTGGAATTTCTGTTCCTAGCTTTTCATTTGACTTGACTAGATGGTTTTTCAAAGGGGAAACCTCAGAATTTTACTTAACTTTGAGGAAGATTGCAGTATGACGCAACTTCCCTGCTTGTAAAATTGGGATAAATTACCCTTGTTTCTGGATGTTGAGTAGAAGAAATGTCCAGAAGAAGAATGGGACGATTTGCCACAGCCAACTAACTCACTGAGGCTAACTCGCCGCAGGACAATTTAAGGAATCAATTTAATGAATTCAAAATAAAATTTAAAAATATATTTAAATTTTTGTTCTGTTCTGTCCCCTCCTTTTTGCATCCTTCAATGATTCTGTTCCACCCTTTCTTGGGTATTAGTGTAACTCTTGGCCGTGGCGAGTTGTCCAGAGGTTTTGCACAGTTGCAAAAACTGAACGCTATCCGCTTCAGTGGGAGGCAAGCGCTGCCTTTAAAGAAATGTATATTTTTAAAAAATTCTTGCCTTCTCCCTTCAATTGATATGAACGGCTTTCCTAAATCGGTATCCTAAACTGGTCAGAGATCCTGCCCATGGTGCATGAAACAGACCTACATTCCAAGTTTTAAGAAAGTCTTTGCAAAAAAAAAAAAAATTGCCGACGTTAAGACGACCCAGCAAAACGGGGGCCTGAAAAGGGAGTGCTTGGAAATCTTGTACTCTTAAGGAGACAATTTAGGGTTTTATTTCCCCTCCCACAAGCTGCTCTGTGTTGGCTTTATAAAAATCTGGTGTATTAAAATGCAAAGATTGGGTGCAGTTGTGCTTCAAACAACTTGAACCCCCGCCCCCCACAAAAATTACAATTAAAGCCACGTACAGCGCCCTGCCATTAAGGGAACTGGGCTAAATCTTCAGTGTGAATGTCAAACTCGAATGGTTTACCTCCTTTTTTGGGGATTGTTTTACACAGAGGAAAGAGGGGTTATTATACGCCGGCTCGTGCTTTCAGCTGAGTGGCTTTCGCTTTTTCCAATTTGGCTCTGACATCGACGGACTTCTCGAAAAACCTCACCAAGGCAGGTTCGTTGAGCAAGGAGGCCAGGATCTGCTCAAAAGCGAACGACCAGCCTTCACTGGAGGAACTGGAGGTGGGGGCTGCTGGGTCCCCAGTCTGGGAGGCTTCTGAGGTGGTAGGACCAACCGTGGGAGATGTTCCTCTATGCGTTGGGGAGGTGGGACTCTGGAGCTTCCGTCCCACCTCCTCCATCCTCAGCAAGAGGCCGGTCACGGTAGCGATGGCACGGAACAGGAGCTCTTCTTCCGGATCACCGTGGAATAAGTTATACAAGGTCTTGGAGAACTGGATGAACTGGGACTGGGAAGGGAGAAAGAAGGGTTGTTCTCAGATCAAGCGGGGGGGGGGGGGGGGGGGGGACACCGAACAAGCCCGGGGGCAAACTCATCAAACACTCTTATGCCGGTTTTAGCAGTGGCAAAAAAAAGGGGGGGGGGGAAGCGAAAGTACATTCCAACTCTTATCTTTAAAAGATTGTAACTTAAAATACCAGAGATTTTGTTCGGGAATATATTTAATTGGAGAATGTGATTGATGACACCCAGCCTGTGAAATGTGCTCAATTGGAGAATCTGATTTATGAGACACCCAGGTGTGTGTGTGTGTGGGAAAACAGGGTCACAGGGCACTGTACATGACATATGCCAGAATTGGCTGCATACAGGGCAGTGCCAGTATGTCGCCTCTAATGAATCCTTGGAAGTTTATTGAAGTTTGGCTCGAGAATCATGATTTAATTAGAGTGATTGCTGGAATCCTGACACCACGCAGCTTTTTATTAAAATGGTGTCTTGGCTAAATTTCTCCATCAAGGGGCCTAAAGATGCATTGAATAACGACCTCCATCCCCTCCCAACTTCATGGCTCATCTGGCACGGGTTATGAGTTGTAGGCCACCATGCCTGAAGATCTCCAGGTCAAAGAAGACTATATTTTGATGTCCTGAACTTTAGCAGCATTTGCTAAATGGGATTCTTGGTTCTTGACTTTGGTTGTTGCAGATGTTCCATGACCCAACTAGGTTGCACCATCATCATTATTCATCATCATAACCTTGATGATGTCACCTAGTTGAATTATGAAACGTCTGCAAGAAAGCCACCAAGCTCAGAGAACACTAAGGATCCCACCATCATCCTTCTCCTCTCCCTCCCTTCTAGCACTGATGATATTATCTAGTAGGGTAATGAGACATCTGCGAGAAGACCACCGAGCCCAAAGAGTACCAAGGACCCCACAGCTCTCCTCCACCTCCTCCTCCCCCCTTCTAGCACTGATGATGTTACCTAGTAGGGTAATGGGAACATCTGCAAGAAAACCACGAAGCCCAGAGAGCACCAAGGACCTCACGGTTCAATCCTGAGCTACACATATTCTCTTCTATCAATATTTGCTATACCTCTACCCGACTTGCATTAAAGGGGGGGGGGAATACTTCACTAGAACAAAATACTTGCTTCCAGAAAAGTTCCCACCTGGTTCATCCGGGGCAAATCCTTAATGCTTTCTTCCTTTTTAAGGATCTCGTCTTGCCACTGCTTCAAGTAAGCCTGGATGTCCACTTTTCCTTTCCCTGCGTTGGAAGAAGAAGTCAAATTCAGAAGAATTGTCCCGTTTTCTCAACAGCTTCTGCTTAGGTCACTTTGGAGCCTGTGCAGTTTCTAGCTGAAGCTTCATCGCCTCTCCATCAAAAACTTTCAGCCAGGCCGGGCTTCTAGATAGTGGCAAAAAAATCACTAAATAATGCTTTAATGTTTCTGCCATCTTGCCCTGCAACTCTCATACTTTACGCTCTTAGTACTAAGCTGTGACCTCAAGGCATGATTCATTGTTAACCCCTACAAGCTTGGCCTCACCCTCTCTCTTCCCTTCCTCCAGTACGGTTTCCAAAAGACTGCCGATGGTAGCACATAAGAAGGGGAAACTTGACAGATGCAAGCTAAGCCACGATCAACCTCAACCCTGATCCCCCCAAAAGGTGAAGTCTATTAAAAACTTGGCCTGCTGGGAAATCCTCATCCTTTATTAAGAGAACCAGCAGCCTTGGCAAAAAAACTTTCTCTCGCAGGCTAACAAGTCTGTCCGGCAGGGAGATTAATAGTCGTCTGCCACATCTCCATCCCCTCCCTTTTATCCCCAGACCTAGGGTGGGGCTTGGCTATCAGTGTCAGATCTTCCATTCGAAGGGCCGGCCCATAGATTTCCACTGCTCTCCTCTCCTTTGCCTTCTGTGCATCCGCGCGTCAGGCACTGGACCCAGCTGTTCCGCCTCTTCCTTATCAGCCACCTCCAGACCTGGGGGCTGTTGACTCTTCATCTGAGGACTGATGGACAGCCCAGGCTCCGCCTCTGTCTCTCTCTCTCTCTCTCTCTCTGACAGTTCCATTCCCTCTTCCCCCTTGGAGCCCCCAGGTTGCTCTGATGCTGACCCTGACTCCCAATCCTCCTCCTCCTCTTCTGATTTGGCTGCTGGAAGGGCCTGTGTCCAGCAGGTCACAACATTCACACCACCTCATACTTTCATAATGGACAGACTTCAACGGTACCATCTTAAATCTCTGGCTAAATCCAGGTCACCTACCTTTTTCAGGACTTGCCTTCAAGACATCCGCATTGTCTTTGTCTTCAGGAGAAGAGACTAAGATAAAGAAGAGTATTGATACTAAATACATTATCCGTTTATTAAATGAGGGCTGTTTTCAAGTGGTCCTTGACTTACGACCACAACTGAGCCCCAAAATTCGGTGGCTTGGAGAAACATTTGTTAGGTGAGTTTCACACCACTTTATGACTTTTCTTGACCCTGTGAATGACGGCAGTTGTTAAGTTAGTCACAACCGTCATTAAATCTGGCTTCCCCGTTGACTTTGCTTGTCAGAAGGTCACAAAAGGCATGACCCCTGCAACCGTCATAAATACGAACCACTTTCCAAGCATCTGAATTTTGATCACGTGACTGTCGGGATGCTGGAACAGTCCTAAGTCACCTTTTTGGGGGCCGCTAAATGAATTGTTGTAAGTCAAGGACTAACTGTACTTTGATGGTCTATAGGAGCATTTCTCAGCCTTGCCCACTTTAAGTTGGGTGAAGATCAAGAATTCTGGGAGTTGAAGTCCACATCTTTCTTAAAGTTGACAAGGCTGAGAGACCCTGTTCTATGGCAAGGAAGTTGATCTCATTTGGGATCCTTCCATTAGAGGATCTCAGCATTGAACTCCCAGGAATTGAACTCGAGACTCTCCAGCCTTGAGTTGGTCAACCTGATCTACAAGTTGACGCCAACACTGCCAATGCGTTCAACCAAGGCTTCATCAAGTGCTTGCAGTTAGCATTTTTTTTACTTGAGAGAACTAATTCTGAGCTTCTTGCAAAGGGGTCAGCTCTCTCTCAATTCCCAGAACACTTTCTTTGGCTTTCACTGGAAGAATTTAGATTCATGGACGCTTACCGCTTAGTTGACTGAAATGGATCAATTCTTCTTTAGAGAGTTGGGCCCCTTTCAAAGGCATGAGAGATTCCACCTCGGTAAAAGCTGCCAAAAGAAAAAAGAACCAGGAACAAGTTAAAAATCACAACACATGATACAACAATACATCACACAGCATGGAAGATATAATCACTGTATGACTTTCTTTCTTTCTTTCTTTCTTTCTTTCTTTCTTTCTTTCTTTCTT